AAAACTAGGGATGCCAAGCCCATGATGACACTCTTCAGGTCACTTGTTCTATCTAGGCTGGAATGTTGCTGCACACTAACAGCACCTTTCAAGGCAGGTGAAATTGCTGACCTAGAAAATGTACAGAGAACCTTCACGGCGCGCATAACGGAGATAAAACACCTCAATTATTGGGAGCGCTTAAGGTTCCTGAACCTGTATTCCCTGGAATGCAGGCGGGCGAGATACACGATTATATACACCCAGAATATCCTTGAGGGACTAGTACCGAACTTGCACATGAAAATCACTCACTACGAAAGCAAAAGACTTGGCAGACGATGCAACATCCCCCCAATGAAAAGCAGGGGTGCCACTAGCATGTTAAGAGACCATACAATAAGTGTCAGGGGCCTGAGACTGTTCAACTGCCTCCCAGCATACATAAGGGGGATTACCAACAGACCCCTGGCAGTCTTCAAGCTGGCACTGGACAAGCACCTAAAGTCAGTACCTGACCAGCTGGGCTGTGGCTTGTACGTTGGTTTGTGTGCAGCCAACAGTAACAGTCTGGTTGATCAGGCTCTGATCCACCAGGAGGCCTGGTCACAGACCGGGCCGCGGGGGCGTTGACCCCCGGAACTCTCTAGGTAAACTCCAGGTAAACATAATATATAGACAGTATCTCCTTTTTGGATTTAACATTGCTGTATATTTTCTTCATTGTCCTCTTGGGAATCATGATTAATGTTAAGTTACAGTTGGAAGTTGAGACAAAAATGAACAGAAAATATTGTTAATCATAATGTTGCTGTATCAATACATACTGGGACAGCTGACTAGTAAATTTTTATTAAGAGTAAGTGCCCAACTTGTAGGAGTGATATAGCACCTAGGGAATAGAGGAAATGAAGTTTGATCCAAGGAAGGCAAGGTTAGATCCAGTTTCTTGAATCAGTGTCCCTCACCAGGGGCATAGTTTATCTGAAAAAACTATAGTATTAAGTTCATACTTTGGATCCTTCCTTTCCTATTAAATCTGCATGCACATTTTTCTGTATGGTACGGCATATTTATTTTCACACTCATTGCTTCATGCCGGTAGTGTGACCGTAAACAGTGGAGGGCAGACTTATTGCCCTTACCTCGATCGTCTGGACAGTAGTTTAGTCTCTGCAGATCACTTTGATATACACTGCAGTACAGGGTAATGTATTATGTCAGTGTACAGTACAGTGGACCCCCGCATAGCGACCTTAATCCGTGCAAGAGGGCTGGCTGTTATGCGAAATGTTTGGTATGCGAATGAATTTTCCCCATAAGAAATAATGGAAATCAAATTAATCCATGCAAGACACCCAAAAGTATGAAAAAAAAAATTTTACCACATGAAATATACATTTTGCTACACACAACGAGAAGGATACATGCACAATAGTAGAGTAGTACATGCACAATATATATTGTGCATGTACTACTCTACTAAATGAAGAATAAATGACACTTACCTTTATTGAAGATGCAGCAATGACTGATGAGACACTGTGTCCTGGGAGTGCCTTTTCTTCCTGAGTACTGTAGGTCCTGTTTGGTATTTTCTTCCAGAACAGGCCTTATCACACTGTGTATGTCACTACGATTCTTAAATCTCTCAAACCAACCTTTGCTGGCTCTAAATTCACCAATATGAGCACTAGTTCCAGGCATTTTCCCTGTTCACCTGGGTGTTAGTCGACTGGTGTGGGTTGCATCCTGGGAGACAAGATTAAGGACCCCAATGGAAATAAGTTAGACAGTCTTCGATGACACTGACTTTTTTGGGCTATCCTGGGTGGCTAACCCTCTGGGGTTAATTGTTTCTTGGTATTCTCAATAAGCCACACCAACAACGGTGCTACAGCAGCAGCAGCAGCTGACGGTGGTACAGCAGCAACAGACGATGCTACAGCAGCAGCAGACGATGCTACAGCAGCAACTGACGATGTTACAGCAGCAGCAGATGCTACAGCAGCAGCAGCAGCTGACGGTGGTACAGCAGCAACAGACGATGCTACAGCAGCAGCAGACGATGCTACAGCAGCAGCAGACGATGCTACAGCAGCAACTGACGATGTTACAGCAGCAGCAGACGATGCTACAGCAGCAGCAGACGGTACTACAGCAGCAGGAGCAGCTGACGGTGGTACAGCAGCAGCAGCTGACAGTGCAGCAGCAGCTGACAGTGCAGCAGCAGCAGACGATGCTACAGCAGCAGCAGCAGCAGCAGCTGTACCACCAATAGTAGCGATGGTTGATTGGGGTTCATTATACAACCTGGCCAGCTCGGAGACACGCACTCCACTTTCATACTTATCAATGATCTTTTTCTTCATCTCCATAGTAATTCTCACCCTTATTGCTGTAGGGTTGGCACTAGAAGCTTTCTTGGGGCCCATGGTCACTTATTTTCCAGAAAAAAATCACCAAAAACACCGTAATAATACGAAATGTTCCGATTGTATGCTTGGATGTTACCGCGGAGGCTGGCTGGTAAACAATGCCACCGGCGGAACATGTGAGCGTGGCTCAGGCCGCACATTGGACGCGTCTCGGACGAAGGGCGCTGAGCGGGTTTTTGGGCGGTATGCGAGGCAAAATTTTAGTGATCAAAGCGTCCGGTATGCGGATTGTCCGTTATGCAAGGCGTCCGGTATGCGGGGGTCCACTGTACTGTACAGTGGAACCCCGAGTTTGTCGTAATCTGTTCCAGGAGCTAGGCCTGAACTCGAAGCAGCCGAAAGGCGAAGCATTATTTCCCATGAGAAATAATGTAAATACAGTTAATTCATTCCAGACCCACAAAAATATTCACAAAAAAAAATACATTTTTTAAAGAATAACTATAGTTTTACATACACACAACATAGATAAATACATATAGTATACAATAGATAAATTAAAATTTAAATTAACATTTAAAATAACATTTGTATGTATATGTACTTACCTTTATTGAAGAGACTTACTGGCATCTGGAAGATAGGGAGGAGGAGAGAGGGAGGACTTATTGTTTGGAAGGAGAATCCCCATCCATAAGGACTTGAGGTATCAAAGCCCTCTCTGGGGTTACTTCCCTTCTTTGTCTTTTAATGCCACTAGGACCAGCTTGAGAGTCACCGGACCCCTGTCACACAAAATAACTGTCAAGAGTGCTTTGTTTCTAGTCTCTTTAAGATTTCCCTAGGATGGGAGATGGTTCTGTCACTGAACTTGTTGCAGAGATGGCTTGTTTCAGCTTGCTCAGGGTAATACTTCTCGGCAAAACTTTGCACGTCATTCCACTTTGCACAAATCTTCTTAATCAATGAAGAAGGCACCTCCTTCACTTCCTCCTCTTCCTCTGAAGCAAATTCCTCAGCTGTGGCCTGTTGCTGTTCCAGATGAAGCTCTTGCAGCTCTGTAGAGGTTAGCTCTTCCCTATGGTCGTCCACCAACTCTTCCACATCCTTGCCACTCACCTCCAACCCCATGGACTTGCTCAATGCCACAATACAGTTCACAATAGGCAGAGGGTCAGCAGGGTCAGGGTCAGCCTCAAACTTCAAAATCCCTCTGGACGACGCATTGTGGCCACAATTATCTCCAGGCAGAGTTCAAAGTCCTGGAAGTCACTCCCTCCCAAGCCTTACCTATAAGGCTTATGCAATGGAGGATACTGAAGTGCTTCCTCCAGAACTCTCTTAGGGTCAACTGAGTGTCTGAGGTCACTTCAAAGCACCTTTCAAACACTGCTTTGGTGTAGAGTTTTTTGAAGTTAGAAATGACCTGCTGATCCATGGCCTGGAGGAGAGGAGTGGTGTTAGGAGGCAAGAACTTCACTGTTATAAAACTGAAGTACCTAGACAATAGGTCTTTCAAGTTTGGAGGATGAGCAGGAGCATTGTCCATTACCAGGAGGCACTTGAGTGGCAACTTATTTTCCAGGAGGTATTTTTTCACACTGGAGCCAAACACTTCATAGACCCACTCTGAAAATTTGCCTTGTGACTCATGCCTTATTATTTGTTTTCCACAAGACGCAATTTATTCTTGATGACATTGTTTTTCTTAAACACACCGGGATTTTCTGAGGGATACACTAGTAAAGACTTCACTTTAAAATCCCCACTAGCATTAGCACAGAACAAAAGAGTTAGCTTGTCTTTCATAGTCTTGTGTCCTGGCAGTGCCTTTTCCTCCTGAGTAATGTAGGTCCTCTTTGGCATTTCCTTCCAAAACAGGTGTGTTTCATCACAATTAAACACTTGTTGGGGTTTGAATTTTTCAGTTTCTATGTGCCCCTTAAATTCATGCACAAATTTTTCAGCCGCTCGTTTGCCTGGCTGGCTGCTTGGCTGGCTGGCTGGATGGCTGGCTGGATGGCTGCCTGGCTGGCTGAATGGATGGCTGCCTGGCTGGCTGAATGGATGGCTACCTGGCTGGCTGAATGGATGGCTGCCTGGCTGGCTGAATGGATGGCTGAATGGATGGCTGCCTGGCTGGCTGAATGGATGGCTGCCTGGCTGGCTGAATGGATGGCTGCCTGGCTGGCTGAATGGATGGCTGCCTGGCTGGCTGAATGGATGGCTGCCTGGCTGGCTGGCAGGATGAGACCGCAGGGTAATGTTCACTCAAGGATAAACAACGCTAGACTGGCTCATCATGCCTGCAGAGAGAGGCATGCAAGGGCAGGCAGGTGGACAGGTCTGGTATGCCGGTCAAAACCCGGGGCAGTGGCCGAAACTCGGGACAAAATTTGGTCAAAAAAGCGGTCAAACCTTGAAGCGGCTGATACTCAGGGCGGCCGAAACTCGGGGTTCCACTGTACTTCATTGCCCCAAATATAAAATGCAATTAGTTGATCACTTGTACTGTATTCTGTGTATCATCATGCTGTAATGCACTATTTTTGGGCAGTTAATTTGCTTATTGCAGTAATTGTATTTAATGAACATGTTGAAAATGCATAAAAGACGATAATAGTAATGAAAATTAACTTTTAGGTACAAGAATCATCTATGAACGAAACTTCTTGCTGCAAATGCGGAACTCTCCATTGGCCAGGACTCCTCCAAAGAACTTACCAGTGATACCTGGAGTAACTACCAAGGATGATGCTGTTGTCCATAGGGAAAATGGAACTATTGCAGAGGAACCGGAGAAGACTGGTAAGGTGTTCACCGTTCAACTTGAGTACTGCACTACTGTATACGTATCTTTTTTTTTTCTCTCCTCTTAGTAACTGTGAGACTCTTCCCTATTACAGCTATGCTATAATCATAGACCTTTTTCACAGTACCTGTAACATCTGACTAAGTTTTTGTCATTCAGGTGTGGCTATCACTTACATAAACAGAGTTGTCCATACTTGGTTATACAAGTTGCACAGAAACAAAAAAATAAAAAAATGTGACCACCAACAGCACAACACAAACATCTGCCTCAGGATCCTTTTCCAAATCACAAAAAAAGCAGCATCCTAAAACAATTGTGTTGGTATTTGTATTACCACATACATGAAAACAAATACAGTGGACCCTCGCCTAACGATATTAATCCGTTCCTGAGAGCTCAATGTTAGGCGAAATTATCGTTAGGCGAATTAATTTTCCCCATAAGAAATAATGGAAATCAAATTAATCCGTGCAAGACACCCCAAAGTATGAAAAAAAAAATTTTTACCATGTGAAATATTAATTTTAATACACACAAACTAAAGAAGAGATGTACAATACATGACACTTACCTTTATTGAAGATCTAGTGATGATTGATGAGATGGGAGGAGGGGAGAGTGTGGATGGTCTTAGTGTTTAGAAGGGGAATCCCCTTCCATTAGGACTTGAGGTAGCAAGTCCTTTTCCGGGGTTACTTCCCTTCTTCTTTTAATGCCACTAGGACCAGCTTCAGAGTCACTGGACCTCTGTCGCACAACATATCTGTCCATAGAGGCCTGTACCTCTCGTTCCTTTATGACTTTCCTAAAGTGTTTCACAAAATTGTCAGTGTAATAGTCACCAGCACGGCTTGCAATAGCTGTGTCAGGGTGATTTTCAGCAAAAAAGGTTTGCACTTTAAGCCACATTGCACACATTTCCTTAATCTTTGAAGTAGGCAACTTCTTCAATTTCTCTCTCCCCTCCTCCGAAGCAGTTTCCTCAGGTGTGGCCTCTTGCTGTTGATGATCTAGCAGCTCATCAGTGGCTAGTTCTTCATTGTCCTCCTCCACCAACTCTTCCACATCCTCCCCACTAACCTCACCAATATGAGCACTAGTTCCAGGCATTTTTTCCTGTTCACCTTGTTGTTAGTCAACTGTTGTGGGTCCTGGGGGACAAGATTAAGGACCCCAATGGAAATAAGTTACAGTCCTTGATGATGCACTGACTTTCTTGGGTTATCCTGGGTGGCTAACCCTCTGGGGTTAATCGTTTCTCGGTAATTGTTTCATGTTAAGCCGTACCAACAACACACACTCCACATCTTCGAGTAATACAGCTGATGGTGATGCAGCAACAGCAACAGCTGACTGTGGTGCAGCAGCAGCTGACTGTGGTGCAGCAGCGGCTGACTGTGGTGCAGCAGCGGCTGACTGTGGATGCAGCGCGGCTGACTGTGGTGCAGCAGCGGCTGACTGTGGTGCAGCAGCGGCTGACTGTGGTGATGCTGCAGCAGGCTGACTGTGGTGCAGCAGCGGCTGACTGTGGTGCAGCAGCGGCTGACCCGTGGTGCTGGCAGCAGCGGCTGACTGTGGTGCAGCAGCGGCTGACTGTGGTGCAGCAGCGGCTGACTGTGGTGCAGCAGCGGCTGACTGTGGTGCAGCAGCGGCTGACTGTGGTGCAGCAGCGGCTGACTGTGGTGCAGCAGCGGCTGACTGTGGTGCAGCAGCGGCTGACTGTGGTGCAGCAGCGGCTGACTGTGGTGCAGCAGCGGCTGACTGTGGTGCAGCAGCGGCTGACTGTGGTGCAGCAGCGGCTGACTGTGGTGCAGCAGCGGCTGACTGTGGTGCAGCAGCGGCTGACTGTGGTGCAGCAGCGGCTGACTGTGGTGCAGCAGCGGCTGACTGTGGTGCAGCAGCGGCTGACTGTGGTGCAGCAGCGGCTGACTGTGGTGCAGCAGCGGCTGACTGTGGTGCAGCAGCGGCTGACTGTGGTGCAGCAGCGGCTGACTGTGGTGCAGCAGCGGCTGACTGTGGTGCAGCAGCGGCTGACTGTGGTGCAGCAGCGGCTGACTGTGGTGCAGCAGCGGCTGACTGTGGTGCAGCAGCGGCTGACTGTGGTGCAGCAGCGGCTGACTGTGGTGCAGCAGCGGCTGACTGTGGTGCAGCAGCGGCTGACTGTGGTGCAGCAGCGGCTGACTGTGGTACGATAGTATTTCTCACCCTTTTTACCACAGGGTTGGCACTAGAAGCTTTCTTGGGGCCCATGGTCACTTATTTTGCAGGTGAAATCACTAAAAATGCTGTGATATGAAATATTCCGATTGTATGCTTGGATGTGACCGCGGAGGCTGGCTTGTAAACACTGCCACCCACGGAACAAGTGAGGCTGGCTTAGGCCGCACGTGGACGCGTCTCGGACGAATCGCGTTGAGCGAGTTTTTTAGTGCTAGGCGAGGCAAAATTTTTGCGGTAAAATGTATCGCTAGGCGGATTTAACGTTATGCAATGCCATCGTGAGGCGAGGGTCCACTGTATAGGCAAGTGTATGGCAGTAGCATTATTGCCTAAGCTGGAAATTCACTAGAATGGTGGAAAAAATTATGCTAGTTCTCCCATCTCTGGTAAACCTAGCTAGTAAATGAGTTTTCATCCCCCTTCTCAGTAGAGAGTGAAAGATTGTTCACCACTGGAGTAGAGAACATCCACTCTCCTCATTGGAATAGATTAACTTCTGAAAATGGGGAGATATTGATGATCCTCTGCTTCAGCTTGAGAATTTTTAATGTTAGTGCATAGTGCTGAGGCCTGGTCACAGACCTGGCTGCAGGGGCATTGACCCCCAAAATTCTCTACAGGTATAATCCAGGTGTAGATTATTGTACGTATATTGTTTATTAATTTCTTTTATTTTTAATGTGTTTCTCTATAGTTTAAGAAATAGTGTAGTACATATAATGATAATGTCAGTTAATTCAGGAGGCTGTTATTCAAGTTCTGAACTAAAATTTTAGTTCAGAATGTGAATAACAGTTATTACAATTTATATTTTTTTAAAGTGCTCAAGATGTGTTTTTTTTATTTAAGCTTTAAATAAACAGTATTACAAAAGTATTGTATGTTTTAGTTTGATGTTTAGTATAAATAAAAATTATTCATTTATTTTTGTAATTTATTTCTGATTATCTTCATCAGGTTACTAAATATGTAATTCAGATTTTTTTTGTAGGCATTGCAAGGGTGTCTGTAATGAGTAATAATGTTAGCATCTAATAGAAATTAAGTTATTTAACATTTATACCTCCAGGGTTATTTAATACATACTGAGAAATAAGAATTTCTTTATATACTGAGCAAAGACATCATAATTTTAAAAATAAAAAAATACATATATTGAAAAAATATCAATGTCAGTATTGGCCTAAATCTTGAGTACAGTACAGTATCAGTATTGATATCAGCAAAAATTTTGGTATCTTTTCATCCCTTCTCTGTTCTGTGCTGATCTGCTTACAATTTATAGGTTGTATGATCAGGGCTTTTTCCTAGCATAGTTGGTTGCACTTTTTCAATAGCATGTCGAATTCACATTTGCCAGGCTTGTGTAAACTTGGTGTTATATTGTAATTTAATAATTCTTGTTCATGCCAAGTGGTTTGGTTATGTTGACACTGGGCTTGTACTGGCACAGTGTGAACTGTACAGTATTGTGTATACTATATTTTAAATATATTTTTAAGCCTGCCCATAATGCTCTGCATACAAGGGGCTTTTGGCATGTACATCCAATCACTATATTTCTTTGTACAACTATGTATCATGTCCAAATAAAAAATAAATAAATAAATAATATTCTGGACATTTAATTGCTGTAGTAAAGCAAAATGAGATTTTCATACTGTACAGTGGACTCCCGGTTATCGGCCGTAATCCATTCCAGAAGGTCGGCCAATAACCGAAATGGCCAATAACCGAAATGGCCGATAACCGAATTAATATTTCCCATAAGAATTAATGGAAATACAATTAATCCGTTCCAAACAAAAATATTCACAAAAAAAAAAATAATTTTTTTAATTATGTAAGTATTACATACCTTTATTGAAGCCTAATGCTGGCTTCTGGAAGACAGGGAGGAGGAAAGAGGGAGGAGTTAGTATTTGGAAGGGGAATCCCCTTCCATAAAGCCTTCTCTGGGGGTTACTTCCCTTCTGTCTTTTATTGCCACTAGGACCAGCTTGAGAGTCACTGGTCCCCTGTCTCACAAAATAACTGTCCAGAGTGCTCTGTTTCTGGCATCTCTAAGATTTCCCTGAAGTGGGAACATAATTTTCAGCTGCACATTTGTCAGAACTTGCAACCTCACCATACCTTACAGCACTGTGTATGCCACTATGCATCTTAAATCCATCAAACCATCCTTTGCTGGCCCTAAATTCACAAACTGCAGCACTTGTTCCAGGCATTTTCTTTGCAAGATCCTCATGCAACTGCTTTGCCTTCTCACAAATGATCAACTCCACAACACTGTCTCCCACTAATTCTTTTTCCTTAATCCACAATAATAACAACTTTTCCATCTCTTCCATTATTGGCGGCCTTTGTTTAGTTAGAAAAGTTACTCCTTTTGCAACATTAGCATCTTTGATTTGTTCTTTCCTTGCCAGGATGGATGTAATTGTTGTTTTATTCTTGCTGTACATCCTGGCAAGTTCCATCACCATACCATTCTCAAACTATTCTATCACTTCACTCTTAAATTCCATGGTGTTTCTCACTTTCTTTACCACAGGAACTTTACTAGGAACTTTCTTTGGGGCCATCTTTACTTATTTCACAGTTGCACTGCAAGAAAAACCACTAAAAACAATGGTAAACAAGCGAAATGTTTGGATGTATGAGCAGAAGCTTCCTCAGCCACCGATAGACAAATCCAATCTGATACGCAAGCTGCCCCAGCTGGTGGATGGATGCGTCCAAAATGGCCGATAACCGAGCGAACGGCCGATAACTGGGCGCCGAAAAACCCGCCAATAGCCGAGTTAGCCGGTAACCAAATGCCTTCAAGTCTTGAAGATGTACTCATTGGAGCAGAAGAGAGAGAGAGAGATACGTGATAATATATACCTGAAGAGTACTCGAGGACCTGGTCCCAAATCTGCACTCTGCCATGACAACATACTGGAGTGAGAGATATGGAAGTGTAAAATGAACCCAGTGAGGAGTAGGGGTGCGGTGGGAACAATTAGGAAACACTGTATCAACATCTGGGGTCCTAGACTATTCAACATCTTACCAGAAGATATCAGAAACACAGCTGGAATAAGTGTAGAAGCCTTCAAGAGGAAACTGGACAAGTATCTTCACCAGGTGCCAGATCAACCAGGCTGTGATGGATATGTGGGGCAGTGGGCCTCCATCAGCAACTGCCTGGTTGACCAGGCAAGCACCAGGCGAGCCTGGCCCATGGCCGGGCTCAGAGTGTAGATAAACTCTCGAAACTCTTCAAAGGTATATCAAAGGTACCCTAGTTTACTCTTAAATTTACACTTAATAATAATAATAATAATAATCCTAGATGGTAGGCTGGTAGACAGCAGCCGTCCAGGGAGGTACTACCATCCTGCCAAGTGAGTGTAAAACGAAAGCCTGTAATTGTTTTACTTGGTGGTAGGATTGCTGGTCTCTCTTCTGTCTTGTAAACATGCAAGATTTCAGGTACGTCTTGCTACTTACACTTAGGTCACACTACACAAGCATGTACAACATAAATATACAAAACACCCTCGGGGGTTTTTTTGTATTTTCTTACTAGTTTTGTTCTTGTTTATTTCTTTTTATCTCCATGGGGAAGTGGAACAGAATTCTTCCTCTGTAAGCTATGGTGTCATGAGAGGCAACTAAATGCGGGAGCAAGGGGCTAGTAACCTCTCTGTATGCATTATAAGTTAAAAAGAGAAACTTTGTTTTCTTTTGGTCACCCGGGCCCATTGGTCGGCCAGTTGTAAAATAAGAAAAACTCTCAGACTCTTAAAGTATATTAAAAAGGTACCCTAAGCCTAACTCATAAATTGACACTTAATAAAATGATTGATAAAATTAAAATTAGATTTTGGTCTGGAGCAACACACCGTCCAGGGAGTAGTACCATCCTGAAGGGTGAACATAGAAACCTGTAAAATTGTTTTAACCTGGGAATTAGGATGCCGGTCTCTCACTGCTTGAAAAGCAGGCAGATTACCATACCCCGCCTCATTGACACCTCACAAGCTTTACAGCTACAAAACAAACTCCACTGGGTGGCTCACTGTACTAGCTACCAAGTAATTTTTCATCCTGGTATATTTCTACTCCATGAGGAAGTTAACAGAACCTCTGTAACAATGCGTGTTGAAGAGGAACTAAAATGCCGGACAACTGCTAGTAACCCCTTCTCCGTAACATTACTAAAGTTAAAAGAAAAACACATTGTCATTTGTCCAACCCTGCCCGTGGATAACGGCCAAGTTTGTCTAAAAGGCGGCAAGCACTAATACCAGCTCCACTGTTCTAACTAGTATATTTACAATAGGAAAGTAGGCCTAACTTGACATAAATGACAAGTTACATAGAATCACTAGCTTGGGGGAAATCAGACTAATTTCAGGCAAATAGCAAAATTTTGTCCTGGATGCAACGACAAATAACTAACACTCGGACCGGATTTTAACGAGGGTGGTAGACGTGTAAGGAAATTTATGCCCAATGTTCAATCCCGGCCGGGGAATTAAATCGGATTACGATTTCTAAGCTGAGAGCTCATAACTTTCTGTATATGAGGCTGTGGATAGGGTAGATTTTTTAAGTGTTGTAATAGTATTTCTGTATTTTTTTCAGAGCATGCTGAAGGTGACCAGTTTGAAATGGACCTTTAAACTGTCTCCCTGGCCCCAGCATCACCAGGTTTCTGCCCATCTCACCATTTGTACAGAAATCAAGTAGATCAGTTTCAGAGGAACCTGCTGTACAAATCCTTGGGCTTAAGCCCACTTGTTGCTCATGTCTGAATTGTTTGGGTGGCATCCTAACTTTTCAGTGGCTCTTCATACCTAAGTACCAGTAGTCAGCCTTTGCATGAGATTTTGACCTGAGCCTTCCTTGGACTTCCATGGTGATGATGAGGTCAGGTTCTCATAATTGGTTACGTGGCTAACCAGCACATTCGACTTTGTATCGGCAGGGTCGTACTTATATAAAATGAGCAAAGTTTTACTTGCTCAGATATCGCTCAACAGCAAGCACAATGTGTGTCAGCCCAGTGAAGTAATTTTATGTGTTGCCCTTTCCTATGGGTTGCCAAATTTGATTATTGCTTGTGTGGAAGGAGAGGATCCACTCTACTGAGTTAAGTGGCCAAACCAGTATATTTGGAGTTAGTGGGGTGGAATACAAGCATTTGAACAAATGCAGTTGAAGTTCGTTGAAATTAGTACCCCAAAGCAATGTAGAACTGAGGGCTGTCAGAATGATTTTTTTTTTTTTTTTTTTTTTTTTGTCTTGCATCATCATCAGGGATTAAGTGCAAGTGCAATTGTGAAAATGATTTCATACATTTTCTTTTAAAGACAACTAGTTTTGCTTAGTGCCAAGAATAATTTCCTGTATTAAGTGAATTGTGTGTTTTATGCTTTCTCACAATGTTTTCTTCATCTCAATTTATGAAATATTTGATATTGGTATAAATGTTTCCTAAAAAAAATACTTTTACACACAGTAAAATATGCAAACGACATTGACAAAAACAAATGCAAATAGGATTTTTTTTTATGTAAAATTTACACATTAGTAGTCAATGACTTAACATAGGTGTTCGGTTTTTGTGATGAATTTGAGGTAACTGTGAGAGTATGATTTCTGTGCTCTGTAAAAAAAAAAAAAAAAAATATTGAGGAAAGCGGGTGTGACTTGTAATTCCTCTTCCATTATGCAATAAATATGTTTTATAACTGTTTATAAAAAATATTCAAAAGTTTTATTGCCTAATAAATGCCATGTCTAGCCATTAATTATAGGTTAAAATTAAAAAATTTTATACTGTATAAAGGCCTGCCTAGATGAAACCCATTGGTTTTAAATGTTGGATGCACAGGTTCAAACACACAGTAATTAACTTTTTAATGGTAATTTATGGTAGTCGTGTTTGGTGACGTTTGTAGCAGTGAGTTTTTTGCAGTAATTTGGACAGGGCATTAAATATTGGAGCGAAATACTTATTATAAAGTTCTCATAAAAGAATAAATCCCCATAAAAATTTGTTTCTCCGCTACCTATGCTCTCTTAAGATATATTTGGAAACTAACAAAGTTTAGTGTTCTCAGTTGAAGGAATTTTGTTTTCAAAGTAAAGTTAAGATTTAGCAAGTAGTTGATTTTAAATAAGTCTTCCTGCATGTCCACTTTTAGTGTTATTTTGGCAGTGAAGGGCTTTTGAATATCTTTTCTGTCATACCTGATACTAACCTAATAATAATAATGTCATACCTGATTGCTTCCCATTTACCAGGCACTGATAAATGTGGAAATCAAGAGGAAACCAGTTCTCTACCTTTGCCAAGTGCCGGATCAACCAGACTGTAATGGCTGTGGGTTAGGCCACTAATATTCACTCAACAAGGAAGCTTGGCCAAAGGCCAGGGTGGTAGGGTAGAAAAGCCCTCAAAATTGATCACAGGTATATGGCACTAGAGAGGTTTTTTAGTTTAGGAATGAATACAGAATTTGTTTCATAAAACCAGACTAATGCACAACAGGCATTGCTGGGCTTAGTAACAGTTTTATTATGTAGGAGAGAGGGAGATTACTTCCTGGTTAAAGTAGGTCTTAGACAGGTATGTGTAATGTCACCGTGGTTTAATATATTTATAGATGGGGTTGTAAAAGAAGAAAATGGTAGGGTGTTGGGGAGAGGAGTGAGATTAAATTATATGGAATCAAGTACAAAATGGGAGTTGAGTTACTTTGTGCTGATGATACTGTGCTTATGGGAGATTCTAAAGTTGCAAAGGTTAGTAGATGAGTTTGGGAGGGTCTGTAAAGATAGAAAGTTGATAGTGAACATAGATAAGAGGGTATCAAATGATTTAGATAAAGAAAAATTGGATATCACATTGGAGAGAGGGAGTATGGAAGAAGTGAATGTTTTCAGATATTTGGGAGTAGACTTGTCAGTGGATGAGTTTGAGTGATGAGGTTAATCATAGAATTGATGAAGGAAGAAAGGTGAATGGTGCATTGAGGTATTTGTGGAGACAAAGAATGCTATCTATGGAGGCAAAGAAGGGAATGTATACACAAATAACCCGCACATAGAAGAGAGGAGCTTACGACGACGTTTCGGTCCGACTTGGACCATTTACAAAGTCACACTGGGAAGTGGAGCAGGACGGGTATATATAGGCAGGAAGAGGTAGTGGTGGTGGTAGTAGTAGTGGTAGTAGTAGTAGTAGTAGTGGTAGTAGTAGTAGTAGTGGTGGTGGGGAATTAAAGAGGAGGAGGAACCAGTCAGATACAAAGAAAGGGGAGCACTGCAAGGGAGCTAGGTGCCCACAGAGGGAGAGCAAGAACAGAGGTGGGGGGAAGGGGCAGTAATGAAATAGATAATGAAGGAACAGAAACACAAGACAGAAGAAAGACAGACAACCCAGAAGGGAAAAGAAAAAGGGAAAGAGGGAGAAGAAGATAAAGGAGGAATCAGGTTAAGTCACGGGTGTTCTGAAGTTTGGAGCATTTTACAATGTTGTGGGAGAGGAAGGCATCTACAGAGACAAAGCCAGGGCTAAGGTTCATACAAGGAAAGTTGTGGATTAGGGAGGATTCAACCAGACGGCGACTGTTAAAGTTGGAAGTAAGGAAGACAGTTTTAGCAGAAGACCAGTCAATAGCATGGCTGTGATCTCTGACGTGATAAAAAAGAGCATTATTAGTGTCGGCAAGCCTAACACTATTTTTGTGCTTCCTAAGTCTGTCAGAAAGAGATCGACCAGTTTCTCCAAAGTATTGAAGAGGACAGGAGGAGCAAGAAATAGAGTAGACACCAGGAACATCTGTAGAGGGAGAGGTATGAACGAGATTAGTGTGAAGAGTGTTAGTCTGGCGGAAAGTAAGCTTGATGTCTAAGGGACGGAGAGAATTGTTGAGATTAGAAAGACCGGAAATGTAGGGAAGACAGAGGACAGAAGAGTTCCCAAGAATAGAGAGTTTGGGAGAGAAGAAATTACGTTTAGCACATGAGAGGGCAGAGTCTATGAAATGGGAAGGATAGCCAAGACGGGAAAATGAATTATGAAGAGTGGAAATTTCTGCTGGAAGGAACTGAGGATCACAGATGCGGAGGGCATGGAGAAAGAGGGAGATAACACTTTTCTTGACGGGAAGCATGATAGGAAAAATAGTGAATGTACATGCCATTGTGCATAGGTTTGCGGTAAATGGAAAAGGAAAAACCTGTATGTGAGCGGTGGACACGGACATCAAGGAAAGGAAGCAAGGAATTAGATTCCCATTCACCTTTAAACTTAATGGAAGGGGCAAGATTATTAAGAGCTTCAAGAAAAGGTTGGAAGAGACTGGAGTCATGAGGCCACAGAGCAAAGATGTCATCCACATAGCGGAGCCAGAGTGAAGGGCGCACATCGATGGTAGGAAGAGAACAGTCTCGAAGTATTCCATGTAAAGATTAGCAAGGACAGGAGAGAGAGGAGAGCCCATAGCGACACCGAAGGTTTGAGAATAATATTTCCCTTGGAAGGAAAAGGAATTAGTCCACACAGAGGTGGATAAGATCAAGAAAGATATCAATAGGTATAGGGAGATGAAGAAACCCTTCATGGGCCTTCTCTCCAAGAAAATCAAGGACATCATCAAGAGGGACATTGGTGAAGAGGGACTCAACGTCAAGACTAAGCATCTTACAGGTCGGTAGAGAGCGAACCCGTTCAATTAAGTCTTGAGAGTGACGGAGGTGGGCAGGAGAAAAAATACCAAGAAAGGGAGTGAGGGTTTTGGCCAGCCAAGAAGCAAGAGAATAAGACAGAACCTCTAGAGGATATGATAGGACGTAGAGGAATATTGGGTTTATGAGTTTTGGGAAGGCCATAGAAATAGGGAAGAGAGGGACAGATGACACAAAACCGTTGAACAAGGTCAAAGTCAGGAGGACAGAGGTCGGAGAGTCTCCTTAGTTTCTTGTTGAAAGTTCTCTTGATGCGATCAAGAGGGTTGGAAAAGAGAGGAGTGTAGGTACACGAGTCAGAGAGCAAGACACCAGCTTTATGGAGGTAATCTTCGCGATCAAGGATAACTACCGAATTACCTTGTCAGAATGATAATGTTAGTGTTAGATTTGAGAGAGGAAATGGCAAGTTGGTAACAGCGTGGAAGGTGGTGGTTCTTAGAAAACAGACTAACAAGAGCAAGAAGGAGAGCGCCACGAAAAGTGGACAAGTCAGGAAGATTATTATGACGAAAAGAATCAAAAGAGCTAATCAGGGCAATACCAGTGCGAGGGGTAGGCGAAGTGGCAAAGGAAAGGCCAAAACCAAGAAGTTCAAGCTCATATTGAGAGTGAGACAGACTACAAGTTAGTAACACAGTCAGTGAGGGAGAATTTAGACCAAGGGCTGGCCGAGATGATACATTGAAGTTCATTCTGTAGTTTAGAAGAATGAATTTGTGTATTCAGGCGAGCATTGTCAAAGGCAATGGTAGAAAGAAGGTTACAGAGATCTTGTGGTAGAGCCGCAAAGAGAGCACGTTGACGCTGACAGAAAGTAAAGAAGGTATCTTCAACGTGAGACTTAGTAGAAAGAATGAGCTGTTGAAGTAGGAGATGGGCATGATCAGGAAAGGGAGTGCCCAGTGGGTTGGGTTTCAGGAAATGGGAGAAGGCAGGGGGGGCAGAACTTTTTCAGCAAGACAGTCACGTAGGAAGCGAAGCTGATTCTTACGACTCAAAGTAGCAATAAGAGCAGCCTCATAAGATCGAAAGAGGGGTTTAAAGAGGGAAGAACATTAAAAAAGTTGGAAAGAATATGCCCCTCAAGGAAGGTTCCTTGATGTTGGTGAGGGGCTCTTTATTTAGGGAATTGGATCTGTGCTCCAGTTCCCCGAATTAAGCCTGAATGCCTTCCGCATTCCCCCCCTAGGCACTGTATAATCCTCCGGGTTTTGCGCTTCCCCCTTGATTATAATAATAATTATAATAATGGAAAGAATATGATGCTTAACTGCAGGGTCCCAAATGCCTCCCATTACTCCAGGTGCTACAAGACCCTACGAGTTTAGCACGCCCTCCCTTCCACGCTAATGTAATAACTCGTTAGTTTTTACTGCTAAGTACTTTCTGACATGTTAAATTGAGTTGAACTAAAAATCACAGGAATAGATGTATACGTGCATTTTCTTTGTGGCTCTTAATACAGCTTACCCTTGTTTTATGCGGGTTTGCTTTTGGTAGGTTTGCTTCATGCTAATTCCCTTTTATGTGATGCCCCATTTCTTTCAATAATTACATAATTCCCCACATGAATGATGCAGTTCGCATAATCTATTGAAGCTTCTTGTGCTGCCATACACCTGGAATGCATCTATTGCATAAAACTTTTTTGAGTGTTTAGTGCTTACCTTAATTATATTGTATTATTTTTACTGCATAAAACAAGGGATACCTTTATGCTATGTACATAATGTTCTCTTAAGAAATTTTTGCATTTTTAGGTTAAATTCTTCCCTGGTGAGGGGAGGCTCTTGATCCAAGGAATTGACCCTATCCTCCCTTGGATTGAACCTCATTCCCTCAGGCACTGTATGACTCCTATGGGTTAAGTGCTTCTTCCTAAATGTAATAATAATAGCTAAAGTCAGAAGATTAATTGCTTGCTACATTAACATAAAATAGCATACACAGAGAAATCTGAAATCTGCTTAAATCCTTTGACCGTAGTAAAACAAAAATGTTCTCTAAAGAGGACAGGTTGTCTCAAAGTTAATTCAGTTCATATTTACACTTCAGTACACATCTACCCCTTTCAGAAACAAGCCTTGAAGGTGATGAAGGGCTCGTGGTTCAAGATATTGCAGCAATGCCACCCTTCTCAACTCAAACTTGTTTAATCATCTTCCCATTCCCTTCCTTGGCTTTAATCTGGTAGCCTTCCATTCCTCAGGTGCTGTATGACCCAAATGGACATAGTGCTTTCCAGTAAATTAGTAATAATAAGGGGACAGAGAATGCAAGAATTGTAGGTGGGTAAGC